GCGCCCCACGCCCCGCGCGGCCTCTGCGGGGGCCTCTGAGCGCTGCGCGCTCCACTTTCCTGGGCTGTTGGCCAAACCTCAATGCCCAGCCCCCCTTCAGCCACGTCGGGGACTCGTCCCAGGGTCTCCGCGGACCCCCGCTGAGTCGCCGGACCCCAGCCGGGGCCAGCCTGTCCACGTGCCCGCGTCCTCCGCGGCTGGCAGGCCCCTGCGCGGTTATTCCGCACGCACTGCTGTGGCTGTGCCGTCGTCATTTTTCACGGTTATGGGGCTTTTGTTTTTAATTTTTTTTCATGTATTTTGGCCTGTTCATCCCACTTAAATGCTCCCCCTTTTGTGGCACAGGTCCCTAAAAGCCACGCAGGGTTCACGCTGGAAGCACCCACAGCGCTTCCGTTGGCTCGTCGTCCGATTGAAGTCTGGTGGTCCACAATTTTGATGTATTAATTCTCCGTTAGGAATTAAAGACTTCCTCTCGGCCCTGACCCGCCTGGCTCATGGTTAGAGCGTCCGCCTGTGGACGGCGGTTCAGTTCCAGTCAAGGGCACCTACCTGGGGTGCAGGCTTGATCCCTGGCCTGGGTCGGGGCACCTGTGGGATCCAGTCCATGCGTCTCTCTCACATCTATGTCTCTTTCCCCCCCTAACTCTCTCTCTTAAAAGCAATGGGTCAGGATTTTTAAAAAAATTAAGAGTACATGTCAGGTTATTCTGTTAATATATGGTCATTTTACTTTTTTATAAATAAAAGTAATAATTGCTATGGCAGCAGGGAATATCAGCATATTAAGTAAAATAAGAATGCGCTGATCTGGCTTTGTAATTCTTCACACAGCCCACCACTGGTGAGATCTGAAAGTGGTCCTAATGAAACACCGCTCACATAATCTATCTTTCTCCAGCTATTGATCTGCAAAGAAGCAATAATGTCTTTGTTTCAAGGCAAATAGACAAAAATGCCAGACTTCCAGACCATTTAAATAGGCTTTAGAAATCTCACTTAAAACAAGAAATTTCAGTCTCATATTTATGCATAATTCCTACATAATCCCCTGCCTGGGACAGTCCTGTGGGTTATCAACTCCACACAGGAGACAACAGACCAAAGGTTTTTTCTTTTTAATTATGTGGGAATGACTGTATCCTCGAGGTATCATGAAAGTTTGGTGAATATATTATGTGAAAGAGACAGAAGTACAATTCTTCCTAGGTTTTAAGACTTTGGAGGAATTATTTTGACACATTCATTCCTGAGAAATAGTCCACAATCATTTCTTCCCAGGGACAATGTTGGCAAAGAGACTAGAAATTTGGAAATATTTCACTGTCTCCTTTTTAAAGCTGACTCTGTTGAGCTTCAGTTTCCTTTGCTTCCTTTCAGCCCCGTGTGGATACAACATCACGTCTCAGAATGGCACCATTTACTCCCCCGGATTCCCCGACGAGTACCCTGTCCTGAAGGACTGCCTATGGCTCATCACTGTGCCCCCCGGCCACGGCATCTACATCAACTTCACGCTGCTGCAGACCGAGGCGGTCAACGACTACATCGCTGTGTGGTAGGAGATGTTTCAAACAGCCAGTTTGTGACATGACAGACCAATCCTGTGGCCACCTCCATATCACTGAGACTCCAAATTCCACACTGAGGAAGGAAGTAGCTGGTAGCTTCTGAAAAGGAAGTTTACCCACTAAATTCAGAAATTCATCTAACCTGTCTGAGTTTAGCTGTGTGTAGATACATCCAGGTTTACTCTGAATATAGGACAGTATCCCGAGGTTATTTCTTTTACATATTTAAGTGCCACTGGTTTTATTCTTAGAAACTAGAGGAGAAATCACAGTGAACAAAGCGGTGTGTGTGTGTGTGATTGTGTGTGTGTGAGTGTATCTGTGTGTGTCTGGCTGTGAGTGTGTAAGTAATGAGTGTGCGTGTGAGAGTGTGTGTGTTTCTGTGTGTTGGTGAAGGGAGGTTGTTTACTGGGTGGTTTTAGGGAGAGTCATAAGAGCAGGTCCTGGCTGCAGCAGGTCCAGTCTTGTTTCAGGGGAAATGTTATCTGAGGTCAAGAAGAGAACTTGGCTTCCAGGCTGCAAAAGAAACCCTTGAGGGGGAGACAGGAATGACCTGAACCAGCGGCCGTGGGGTCGAGAAGGAGGGAGGGACAGAGAAGTCGAAATATTCAGTGACCAAGTGAAACATGTTTAAAAGCAAAACAGGTAACAGCAGGATACTATCAGCAATTTCACCCTGATGGACCCACAGATTTAGGAGGTGGGAGCAGAGGGTCTCATACTAGCAAAAGCGAGTCAGTACCTATTGTCAGAACCCTAAAGAAGGAGAGAGCCTGGGAAGTCCAGTAAGCCTTGGGAATGTTAAATAAACACTCTGAAATTTCTAAACACAATATCTGGTAGATGGTAATATTTTATTTAGGTTTAAAACTATTTCAATTCAGTAGCAAGATATCCGTTAATCTCCCCCATGATCAAAGAGACACCATTGAATTTAGAGTTGAAAATGTGGACTTTTGTGAGGAAGCTGATAAATGGTATTGCAGTCACTAGAATACATGACCACATCTCTCAAACTCTTCTGGAAGGTCAGCTGGGGGAGTTCATGTGGGGTCAGCGGGCATTTCCAGGTGTGCACACCAGCCCTGGCACCTGGACCCAGGGTGGGGCACCTGCTTTGTCCATGATAAGAGCCCACCTGTAAGAAGCACGGACTGTTCCTAGAAGCCTCACCTGGGACCTGTCCTTCACTCTGCTCTCTCTCTTCTTAGGGATGGTCCTGACCAGAACTCTCCTCAGCTCGGGGTCTTCAGCGGAAACACGGCCCTCGAAACCGCATACAGCTCCACCAACCAGGTCCTGCTTAAGTTCCACAGCGACTTCTCCAACGGGGGTTTCTTCGTCCTCAACTTCCACGGTGAGTGTGCCCAGCCCTGGGGTGAGGGCAGAGAACTCGGTTTGGGTTTCCTCCTGCCCTCACACGTGCCACGTTTCCAGTGGGAGAGCCGATGAGGTTTTCCTGCCCCGAACCCTGTTTTGCTCAGTGACTTCTTTATGACCTCACATCTTTCTGAGCTGGTTTTGTGGTCAGCTTGGACTCATTCCAGGATTAGTGTGTTGTAAATGAAACCCTGACATGGACACCCCTGACGTACAGAGTACTTTTCATAGACGTCCCCATCGTCTGGTCTGGGTAGTTATAGGTGGCGGCGAAAGCCAGCCATGAAGGATTTTGAGAATGTACGCTAACTAATTTGGAAGAGAGTGTGTGGGTCCCTTACCTCTTGTGAGGACTGCCACCAGTGAAGTCCTTGGGACGGAGACAGAGACCTTATCCAATCTGAGAGTGGACGTGGAACCAGGCCATCGACGAACCATTTCCCTTATGGAATTCTAGACGTGTGCAAGGGGTTGTGTGTCAATGTGATCATGTTTAAATTGCATACTTGTTTAAATTGCATACTTATCTCTTTGGCTGTAGATATTGTTGGCATTAAATTATCCCGCAAGCAGTGGGTGCTTGCAATTTTATAAAACCATGATTTACCAATTGACACATCAGTGCACCTAAGCATCATAACAACGTAAGAGGAGACTATAAAAATGTTGTTTATTCAGCAAATGTAATCACAGTTACTTGTTTCTGTCTCATAAACCCTTTAGCATTTCAGCTCAAGAAGTGCCCACCTCCTCCAGCGGTGCCACAGGCGGAGATGCTCAGTGAGGACCAGGACTTTGAAATAGGTAAGTTGCTTCGTCCCAGGGTCATTGGCCTCACCAGCGCGTTCACAGCCACCACCTCCAACAGCCAGCCAGAGTGAGCGAGTGTTGGTCAGAAAATTCCCACAGCTCCCCCAGGGAGTCATACACACAGGACACGCATCCGGTAGACACGTTTACCTTCCTTCATTCCCGTGACTTTTGAGTTCTGCCATTTGAAGTTTGCCCTTGTCACTTGGAGCCACTCACTAGTTCACGTTTCTCTCTTGAGTTATGTTTTCCGAGGCAGACAAACAAATACCTGTGCTCAGTGAGGGACACAGGATCCTAAACTAGAGCCTCACTCTGGCTGAAATAATGACCAGTGTGCCGCTGGCCTTCCGTTTACACTGGGACATAATCGGTAAATGCATTTCATGATAAGATTGAGAAGTTCTGTTTTGCCGTTTTCTGTGAATGTTGTATTTCACTAGATCAGCATCGGGCCCACTAGGAAACCAGCCCTTGTACATGTTCACACAGTAATTATCAGGACCCAGGATCTCCCAGTCGCAATGGCAGGTGCTCCATCCTTTGGTGGCACCGTGTTTCAGACCCCTGGTCAAACCTCAGCACCTCACTTCTCCTACACTCAGAATGGCTGAGCTAAGGGGATGGTGTGCCAATCATGCCCAGGTCGTGGGGCAGCCTAGCTGTGTCTCACAACCTGGAATCCCAGTGTCCAGGTCACGATTATTTCCCAGGAATCCTCGGGGAAGTAGAAGGAACAGAGACACATAGTCAGGGAGGAGATGTAGCCACGGGATTCCTATCCTAATGTTGGTTGAGTGTAAGAGCATTTTTATAAAGGAGGAACCCAAAGGGGTATATTTTACCAAACAGTCTAAAGATGGAGATGGATGTTGACTGGGAAATGGTTTGTCAGTTGACTTAGTCTGTTAGGTCACCGTCTGTGTTTAACTCATTCCCACACTCTGAATGTCACAGAAGCGTAATTTCCAAGTATTCATGTGGACTCTTCCAGGGGACTTCGTGAGGTACCACTGCCACCCCGGGTACACGCTGTCCGGGGCGGACACGCTCACCTGCAAGCTCAGCTCCCAGCTGCAGTTCGAAGGTTCTCTCCCAACGTGCGAAGGTATGTGAGCCCGATGCTGTGAGTATTCGTGTCCCACGTGGAAACTTTGTGACCTGTGTTGATCCAAGCTTTTTTGTGTGGGTCTGACTTTAATCTTTCTCTGAGCTCTGATCCATTGTGGTTAAAATTACCTGCTCCCAGAAACGTCTAACAACCTCCTTTTAACTAGCTCTAGAAAATAAAACCACATCAACCAAGAAGTCTTGCTGTTTTCCATACAGTTTCTCAGGGAAATTTTCAAACATATCGCTGTGCTGAAAGTTTTAAAAAGAAATCTGAATGCCCCCCAACCTGGGTTCCACACTTCATGTTGACTCTGCAGCCTTTGTCATCTGTCTGCCTGTTACCTTTCTAGCCATCTCTTCAGATACCTGACATTTCTGATGCGTTTCAAGGCAGATGGAAGGCATCACTGTACGTCTCTAAACACTTTAGCATGTCCAAAATGAGCTAGTGTTACTGCTTTTTTCTGGAACATGTATAAACACTGAAATGTAAACAAAGTGCACTCATTTCTATTGTGACGTGTCTTTAAGACTCACAGGCCGTGTACAGGAACAGAGACAACATACAACAGCAGAACAAGAGTTAAGGCTGAATCTATTGATTCAGTGGACTTGGATATAATTAGATCATTTTTAAAATATCATTTAAAAGATATCACTCGTGTTATTGGAGAAAAAATATAAATAAGCTAAAATGGCCCAACATAAGCCAGGAAGGAGTATTGTTCATGTTCCTGTCTGTAGGCTGGCTGGCCCTGGCCGGGTGGCTCGGTGGGTTGTAGCATCATCCCGTGCACCGAAAGGCTGGGGGTCCATCCCCAGTTAGGGCACATACCTAGGTTGTGGGTTTGATCCCTGGTGTAGGTGCAAATGAAAGGGAACTGATAGATGTTTCTCTCTCAGGTCGACGTCTCTCTCATCTCTCTCTCTCCCCTCCCTCCCTTAAAAAAAAATCAGTAAAAAAAATCCTTGGGTGAAGATTAAAAAAAAAGCTGTCGAAGTTAAAATGGGTTTTATTTTATTATTTTAAAATCACGAGGCACGTTGACTTCTTTTAAAGAACAGAACTCTGCTCTTTTTGGGAATAGGGATATTGGCTTTCACCAGGGATCCCCAGCACCCACAGGGGCTCACATTTAGGTGGGGAAGACCCAGGTCTCAGTCTAGACTCGCTTAGTGGCCTTGGGCTAGTCAGGGACTCCCTGAGCACACGCGTGAGGGGATCATTTATCTGGGAGTTTATGGGGTTGCTATGACCATGCAGGGAATAGTGAGTCATCGTTTTTTAAGTGTTTCATCATGTTAATTAGCCTACGAAAAGCAACCCCTCTGCATGGCCATGGTATTGATTTGCAAGTGCCCACACCTTGGATTGATTCCCTCAGAGTGTCTGCTAACTGCAGGTTCTCCTGGCAAATGAGGCAGCATGTCCCTCACCTGAGACAGGTTTCAACCTCCAAAGAACACCTGGAAAGAACTGTTAACTAAACATGGTAATTTAGGTCATTTCAAAGACAAGTTTACTTTCAAACTACCTATGTGAGAGCCAGCGGGCGTGAGGAAGCCCCAGGCGAGAAGAGGATCACCCCTTTAGTCTGCTGTCCAATTTCAACTCCCACGGGACCAGGCAAGTGGGGGGGGGGCACGGAAACCCTGCCCCTCTGGCCTCACCTAGACGTTCTCTTACATGTCATCTGTATCATTCTCTTATATGCTGCACGTGTGTCCTCGATTGCAGGGCGCTTGTACAATGTTGCTCATTATTGGTCAGGGTTGGTCTGCTGTGTTTGCACCTGCAGTAAATTCAGTCAGCTCGGGAGGAACACCTTTTCCTCCCCTCAGCTCACACATACTGGGGTCCATTGAAGCTGGATTCACTTTGTTAAGGAGAACTCTCGCTTTTCTCACTAGCACAATGCCCAGCGAACGAAGTCCGCACAGAGTCCTCAGGGGTCATCCTCAGCCCCGGTTACCCAGGCAACTACTTCAACTCCCAGACCTGCTCCTGGAGCATCCGAGTGGAGCCAAACTACAACATCACCATCTTCGTGGACAACTTTCAGAGTGAGAAGCAGTTTGATGCCCTGGAAGTATTTGACGGTAAGTTTGTTTCGTCTTGGTTCACACACAGGTGACCCCTACTTAGTGTGGTGAAAACACCTATGTAATGTTCTTGTCCCACAAGAACCTGAGTGTATGTTTGAGTTAAATTACATCTCCTCAAATAGGAAATAAATTCCTCTTGCACTGTGCAATCTCGGAAATCCAGTGCCTGTAAACCATTAACATTTTGTTAGTGTTGCAACTTTTAAACAATTAGAATACTCCTGATAGGCTCTGAAAAGATGCTGACTACACCTTAACTGTTCTTTACATCCTCAGTGTGGGGGCTTAAAGGGGATGATCTCAAACAGCTCTTCTTTTCTCGCTAAGAATTACATTGATTCAGAAGATATCTTAGGAAATAAAGGTAGTTTATTCAACCTAAATGATTATTTTACTAGATGTATATAAATACAGTGGCTCACAGAGATTTCTAGATGATAAATGCTACAAGTCTTCAATGAAAAAATTTTTTAAATTAGTCTTATACATCTTTATTAGATGTATTACATTCTAATAAACTTTTTAAAATTCTCAGCAAGGATATGTTTTTCATTGATTCTAGAGGGAGAGGAAGGGAGAGGGAGAGAGAGAAAGAAACATCGAGGTCAAAGAGAAACACCGATTGGTTGCCTCCCGTATGTCCCCTCACCTGGGATGGAACCCGAAACCCGGATATGTGCCCTGACCGAAAATCGAACCCACAACCCTTCATTGTACAGGATGATGCTCTAACCAACTGAGCCACACTGCCAGGGCTCTAATACTTTTTATTGTAACAGTGCTATGTTTGAAAGTAAACTCTGGTTGAATTGTCAATTTGAAATGAAACTGATGTTAATATTTTTCTTTATTATATCCCAGAAAATTAGACCAACATACAATTATGGCTACACATAATAACAGGGTTTCCACATGTTTTGACAAATTTGTCATTGCGTTTAGATAAATAACAGTCAATTTTGTGAACATAAATTATCTGTAATTGATTCTATGTGTGTTAATATGCCTTTTACTGACTGATGAATCGTAATACCCAGATTGCTCTTATGGATGGACACCACATGAATCCATTTATGTATTTCCAAAGATGAACTGCTAAACTGGAAATTAAATTTACATTTATAAACATAGAAACAGAGGACTAAAGGACAGTATTTTCATTTTCAGTGGTTTAAGTATGCAGTAGCCCCGCCCATCCACCTGTTCAGTTGCCCACAGACAATCATAGTCCAAGAACATTAAATGGAAAACTCTAGAAATAAACAATTCACAAGTTTTAAATTGCACTGTGTCTGAGTGGTGTGATGGAATCTCCCACAGTCCCGCGCAGCCTGCCCAGGTCGTGGGTCGTCCCCGTCCGGTGTCTCCCTATGGAATGTTCTCCGCCCCGTTTGTCCTGGTGTCTCGGTGCTGGTGCTCCTCACCCTCATTTTACTTAATTATGGTCCCAAAGCTCCAGAGCAGGGGTGTCGTGGTTCAGACACACCAGCGAGGAGCCAGAGTTCTTACTTCAGTGGGGAGGTGAGTGTGTGGAGGAAACGGCTCAGAATATACAGGTTCAGCGCCATCCCCGCTTCGGGCCCACTGGGGCTGTGGGATGTGTGCGCCACAGACGGGGGTTGACTGTACAGTAAAACACAGACTGTTGAAGACTTTCCTTTAGTCTTTGGGACGGAGAGAAGTGAATTATTAGCCAAGCGCGTACACGGGCTTCTTGCTGCCGTAAGGAACCAGGTGAGTGACTCTGAGGCCAAACAGTAGTCAGAGAGGAACCAGGCCAGCAGCAGGCCTCGGCACGTGTGCGTGCTATATGGGTGTGTGCGTGTGTGTGTGTGTGTGCTGTATGTGTATGTGTGTGGTGTGTGTCTCTGTATGTAGGTGTACCCATGTTGTGCATGTGTGTGTCTGTATATGTATGTGTGTATTGTGTGTGCCTTGTGCACATGTGTGTGAATGTGTTTGCATATATGTCATCTTATGCTGTATGTCATGAAATAATTAATAATTATTTTAAGTTTCTGAATGTTCTTTCATTTCACTTTAGCTGAGTTAGAATTCAGCTGGCCACCTTCTGCATTGTCTTTATCAGGAAGAAAACCATTATTGATAATTTATGCCCTAATCCCCACAATTTGATCTCCCAAAAATAAGGAGCGATCACACCCCTTAAAAACCACAGCAAATAGACAGTAGAGACACATCAGAGCCGCGCTGTCAGAATTATCAGAGCTCAGTGACTGGGTTTGTTCTAGTTGCAAAGATTTTTCTGTAAAATGAAAGGTCAGAGTTTTACCTGGACACCTTTTTGAAGCGTCAGTATTTTTGTTTCAGTAATTGTCATGTTCGTTGCATCTCCCTCTTTGTTTTTTTGTAAGACAGTGGCTCTGTTATAGTTCATGAGTTGACCAAAAACATGTTGAATATGTTGACTTTCAACTCTGTTAGCCCAGGAATATATTACTCTCTACAGCTCCTGTAGATATTTCTCAATTAAAAAATAAATTTTAAACATTGTAGAACTTGATTGAGAAGGTGTCGAAATAAGGACTGTGGTTTCACTTGTAAATACCTAAGTTTCCACCTTGGTAACACAGGTGTGCATGTCCCTGCCTTTATGTGCTTAGTGTTTGTGCATTTTCAGAAACATTCCTTTAGAAATTTAGTTACGTGACAAGTCAAGGAGCAGATGGAAAATGCTGAGGAGTCAGAAGTTGGATCAGCAATCTCTGAAACTTTCCTCTGGAGTTCTGTCACTTAAAGTGACGTTTTTAAATTTTATAAATTCTGGTTAATTAACCTCCCAGAGTCTTTTATTTTAGGATAGACATTGTCTCTTTAGACAGTGTTACCACGAAAACCAGCACACACAGCACAGTGCTGTCTCCTGGGTGGTAAAACATAGTATTCCCTTCTCAGGAGACTGACCCATGACGGTCTTTCACAATAAGTAGCGTTTCCTCTGATTCTTCTCGCTCTGAGTATGGGGAGCACCACCTTCATCATCTTTAACAGGCTGGTTTTGTATCCATCTACGGAGGCTGCTCCCACAAAGTACCATGGCCGGGCAGCTTGAGTGACAGACGTTAACCCTCACTGATCTGAAGCCAGAGTAGGCATGCAGGTGTGGGCAGGTGGGCTTCTCCCGAGGCCTCTCTCCTTGGCACGTAAGCGCCGTCTTCTCCAGGGTCCTCACATGGTCGTCATCCTGTGTGTGGCCGCTTCCCGATCCCCCATCGCCTCTTATCAGGACACCAGTCGTGTTGAATTGGAGCCCACCCTAATGACCTCTTGTGTGTTCCCTGACCGGGACTCCAGCCCACAACCTTGGCGTTTGTCTCATTCATCAGTTTACATGCTGCAGAGAATTCCTTTTCATAGCACTTTCCGTTCTTTTTTAAAACTTCAAACTAGTAGTTAAGGTCTAAATTTTGCCATTAAAAAAACACAAGGCTGGAATACGCATTTGCTATATAAATAACACCTGTGCACGTGTGCTGTCGTTTATAGAAATGGAATTAAACCCTCAGCTTTCCTGGATATTAGCAAGTTGCTCTCCAAAGCAACTGTACTAAGACATAGTTCCGCGAGGATTTCGTGGAATTTTCCGTTTTTCCATATCCATGCGAGGATGTAGATACTAATGGTAATAAAAACTACTTTCACTTTTTCAGTTACTACTGTTTTACAGATGAGGTTCATTTGCTGTAAGTATCATGTGGTCAGTGGCATGTCCACCTGCAGCTCTGGTTGGCTGCTAATTTGTTTTTACCTGGGAGCCTGTTTGTTTCTGAATTCATGGGAATCTTTCCTCCACCCTGTACGTACACAGCCTTAAGTTGTACATTTGGGTTCCAGTTTAATAGACAACGAAAGGGAGCCGTGTTTCGTAGGTGCCGACTGCGCCTCTGCTTCTGTTTCACAGGTTCCTCTGGTCAGAGCCCCCTGCTGGTGGTCCTGAGTGGGAACCACACCGAGCAGTCGAATTTCACCAGCAGGAGCCACCAGCTGTATCTCCGCTGGTCCACTGATCACGCCACCAGCAAAAAGGGATTCAAGATTCGTTATGCAGGTGAGTTGGTGAGATTTCGTTTTAATACCGAAGTGCTTTAATACAAGTGATCACATTAAATTAAGAAATTAGATAGGTATACATAAGCCTCATTTTCAGAGATGAATAATAAACTTTAGTAGAAATAATACGATGGGAAATTCTGAGTGATATCTCTAAATGGATTTAGGGATAGTAAACTGTTTGTGGATTAATAATTTAAAAATATGTTGCTCACATTGTAAACAATTGAATTGCCTATCGTAGAAAGCAAAGACATTTCCAAAAAGATGAAATTGTATACATTTAATTTAAAACATGTTTAAATGCTAGGGGAACAAACAGGAAGATATAATAATGCTATTAATTTTATAAGTAATAACCGCTTACTGTTAATAATGTCCTTTTATTGATTATTGATCTGTATGACTCTTTGTGAATAACATGCAGACACTAAACGTATGACATATGACATATTAGATCCTATTTACACTTGTCATTACTATCTGACCCGGCCTAATGTTTTTACTGCCCTACAAATGCAGTAGACAGACAATTCCATTTCTGATATGTTTTAATTATGAAGCAAAAAATCTAAACTTTTCTCAATATCCCAGAACTCAGCAATACCCAGTGGTAAAAATCGAAGCATATCTCCCTCGGGAAGGTGCCCACTGTCTGCGTTTGGTCGAACAGTGTATGTTATCGGAGGGTTGCTCCCTCCTGCGGTGGTTTGCCGTTGTCAGTGACGACCAGGTTCTGAGGGAGAAATAGGAAAAAGCCGCAGGGCGTCAAGAGTGAGATCCCAGCTCCCTCCAGTTGGTACACACCACGAAATGGTGAAAGCACCATGTTTTTGAAGAGGCTCTTGGTGTGAGGACAATAGGCATAGAATTCATTTTCTTTCTCTGCAAAGTATAATGAAATGTACTCAGGCCTTTGTCTGCTCCCCACCCTCACCCGTCCCTGCTCTCAAAGCTGCCATTTAAAAAGCTGCTCAGCAAAGAGCTTACAGCTGTCATTTGCTTTTAGCAGAAAGAGCTGTGAAGAGCATTAGGGCAACGAGGGGATTTGCAGTCATCCGATTCCTTGTTTCAAAAAGTAATCAGACCTTCGGGATGGCTGGGATTCCTCTCCAGGGTGCAGAAGTGGGTGGCGCAGGGAGATTCTGGTGAACACAGTGCGTCTTGTTTTATCTGTGGCACGTTGCGCAGGAGCCTGGTGATGTGGATGTTTTTATTTATTAGCTAGAAGAGTCTTTGTTAAGCTGTGTCGGGAGAGGAGGAAAGTGAAGAAGTTCTGAAAAGGCTGCGAATGCTTGTGTTTCGTTCCGTCAATGGCTACACCTGTCCATCCATAAACACACAGATGTAACTTTCCACAAATGTTCACTAAAATTCAGTGATTCCGTGGCCTTTGCTAGGAGCGCATCTTCAGTAACCGTAGAGCTTGATTACACAAAGATGCTCCTGAAACATGACCATGGGCACCGGGGGCGTCCGCGGTAATGTGAGCACACACTGCACACAAACCTTTGTCTCCCTTACTCTTGAATTGTTGGTTATGGGCACACCTGTGCCGTGTGATAGCCGAGTTCGCAGTGTCCCCTCTGCAGTCAAGGACACCTGTGTCAGCTGAGGTTGTGGGAGAGGCAGAAACGCAGCCTGGCCAGGGGCCAGAGGGAGGCTCAGGGAGCTGAGCCTCCAGCCTTCTGCCATCGGACACACCTGCTGGACTTCTCCTTGCCCCAACTCTGCCAGGGCCCTTCCAGTGGGCTGAAGGGCCAGGCACTGGTCTTAATTCTTAATGTAGCCAGGAACCCAGAGGCAGGACCTGAGTTCTAATCTCCTGTTTTCCTTTCAGCTCAGTGCTTCCCTCTGAGCCCCTCCAGACCTTGTTCTAGGCGAGTCAGGAAAGAACAGGTATCTCGAGACCCTGCTGATAAGGGGCACATGGAAAATAGGAAAGAAAACAGGCAGTTGTTAGACCCCTAGAGTTACTCGTCCTGCAGATTATGTTTCCTAACGGACCGAACTATGACAGAAATTGTAGGTGACACCAGAGAGCTGGTGGTCTCGTTGCCCCTCTGTTTGGTTTTGCTTTGCTCTGTTTATGAGAACAATGGTTCTGGACAGTTGTGCCCAGAATGCCTGATTCTATACCTGCCTTCCCTAAAGGAAATAATTTGGTTCATTACAACTCGCAAAATTTGGTCTAGAACCTGCCACAGACAATGGCCTGGCCCAAGGGCATCTTACGACAGTGAGGGGATTTTAACTTCATGGATATCAGCCCTTTTTTTCCTTAATGAAATGGAACCATAGACAGTCATCAGCTCAGAGTGTGCTCTGGGGATGCTTCTCAGAGGAACAGGGCTCACAGCAAGGCCAGGCATGTAGATGCGGCTCTGGGCAAAGCCAGGAGCACTGCCTCTGCATTGATTCCTAAGGAAGTTTGGCCTCAGGCTCTCAGACCGTGTGTGCTTTGTACTCAGAACCCCCCGGAGTGGTACATTCAGAGCCTCTCCTTCCAGAAGGACCCGGGGACCCCAACCCTCACTTTCCCAATTTTACTGTTCTCAGTTCATCTGAAGGGGGGGTGTGGATTTTTTGCAGCCTTTCAGATTGGCTTCTGTCACTTAGTCACATGCACTTCAGGTTCCTCCACGTCTTTCCGTGGTTTAAGAGGCCAGTTCTTCTCAGTGCTAATAATATCCTGTTGTCTGGATGGACCACGGTTTATCCATCACGTGCTGAAGGACGTCTTCGTTGCTTCTAAGCTCTGGCTGTTATGAGTGAAGCTGCTGTAAACATTGTGTGCAGGTTTTTGGGCAGACATGAGTTTTCAGTTTCTTTTGGTAAATTCCAAGGAACACGATTAATGGATCGTGTAGTAAGAGTAGGTTTAGTTTTGTAAGAAACCGCCAGGGTGGCTGTCCTCCCGGGTGGGTGCCCCATCTGCATTCCCCCAGCAGTCAGTGAGATTCCTGCTGCTCTGCACCCTGTGTGTGGTGCTGGGATGCATGTAGAGCAGGGTTACACACTGTTACCGGTTCCCGCTGTTTGAACAATAGAGCTGTTTCATGTGCATCACTCTAGCCACAGGAATGCAATAGCCCCTTACGACTGTCCGTTTGCTTACATGTGTGTTTGTGTGCCTGCAGCCCCTTACTGCAGCTTGGCCCCCACCCTGAGGAACGGTGGCATTTTAAATAGGACCGCGGGGACACTGGGAAGTCAAGTGCACTACTTCTGCAAGCCCGGCTACCGCCTGGTCGGCCGCAGCAACGCCACGTGTGTTCGGAACCCCGTGGGCGTGTACCAGTGGGACTCTCTCCCTCCGCTGTGCCAGGGTAAGAAATGTGGTTTTTTTATCCTCAGACTTGAATTCGATCCTTTTTTCTTATTTCAATCATGCTCTGAAAATGACTGGAGCAGTGCCCATGGATAAAAGGTAAGGAAAAATTGAATGTAGGTTTTAAAAAGTGCAAATTAAACTTTCCGCAGGCCATGCAGACAACCCTGACATTGATACCAGGCTTGATCAAGCTTCGCGGCCTGGATTCAGAGGATGGCCCACAGTCACTCGGTGCTGCGGAGAGTTATTCTAGTACTCACTTGTGTTTCATTTTGAAGTAAAAAAAAATGTGTTGTCTCATTTAGGTTCAAAATAATTTTTTGACAGTTGAAGTAATTTAAAAAATCAGTTACTACCTTTCCTTATATTAGATCAAAATTCTTTGAGCATATGTTGTGTATATTTCATTTTCTTTGGGTCTTTTAAATCTAGGGCTTGTTAAAGTCGATTTCAATATTTTATGCCTTTTTTGTATTTTATCTGTCATATGCATAAAAATCAGATTTTCAAAGACGGCATTTTAATTTTTAATTGAAGGCTTTGAAGTCATGAAATTTTCATAGTTTTGTCTTACTGAGATTTATATTCATAATGAAATATATTGGCCTTTGAAAGCTAATTATGATTTATAAATAGAACCTCATAGCGGTTTCCATTCTTTCCCTTCCATTAGATGCTAGATTTCCTGTGTTGTGCTGAGACGATAATAGGTTTTTATCACGTTTACAATACGTGTTCTAACCACAGGGAGCCACCAGCTCCTGGCCGCAGGGTTTACACCCTCCCTCCAGAAACTGTCCTTCAGTTTAAGATAAACATAAAGGTCCAGTGACCTTGTTTCATCAGGAATGATGATTTTTTTTCTTTAAAACAAAAGTAATTTTTCTTTCAAAAGAAAATACACTTTTCATTTTCCTTCAATGCTGTTACTCTCTGTCCATGACTTAGAGCCTATGGCTTCAGAGAGCAGCCCCATGGGCTGTGTCCTTGGCCCTGGGGACAGAAGGACAGTGACAAAAGGGCTGACCTAGACGGCAACCTGCCAAGGAAAGGGGGAGACAGCAGGACCGGCAGACGCTCCGGAGACCCTGAGCCTGAGAGGATGCTGGGAAGGCACTGCTGTGCTGAGGGGCGTGTGACAGGAACGGTCTGGGCATGTGGTGGTCCATCTTCCAGATGCCTGAGGTGTTCTGACAACCGCTGGCCAGATGGAGAGGTGGCATTTCGGGGAACACCCGAGAAGAAAGGAAAGGAGGCCTGGAGTGTGTTTGCTGGTAACTTCGAACCTCCCTCTCCTCCCAGTTCCGCCCAGCAGACATTTGATGCTGAATAGAATGACTCAGAAACAAATAGTGCACAAAAAAACAGGTCCTCCGGAGATGCTGTGGTTTCAGCTGAAGAATCTGAGTGAAGACAGCGTATCTGTGCTCTGTGTCAAGCACCCAGAGCCGCGCACCGTGGGCATGGGGTCGCTTGAGATGGAGAATCGGAATATTCTCCTTGGGTTTCCCTTGGAGATCTGTGACCCATGCGACCGTGTCCTCAAATCATGAAATGTTTCCAAAGTCTCGTCTTCCTACAACAAATCCCCTGTTCTGCACTTTCTGTGGACCGTCCCCATAACCAGGGAGGCAGTAGGTCTTCTTTCTTCACAAACTGTGACTTGTGGCACCTGGAGGGTCTTTAAAATAATCTGCTTTAGCCCGGCCGGCATGGTTCAGTGGTTGAGTTTCAACCCTGAACCAGGAGGTCACATTTGATTCCTGGTCAGGGCACATGCCCGGCTTGCCAGCTCGATCCCCAGGCGGGGGCGTGCAGGAGGCAGCCAATCCATGACTCTCACTGATGTTTCTCTCTCTCCCCACCTCCCTTCCTCTCTCTGAAACCAGTAAAAACAAATTTAAAAATAATAATAATCTACTTATTTTCATCTATTTGAAACTGAGGCACATAAAGTTAAGTGACTTATTAATAGCCATAAAAATGTTGGTCTGGAATCCAGACCCTCTGACTCCCTCTTTGGTGTTTGAATCAAACTGTTTCTGGCCAAAAGAAATTCTATTTAAAATCTTGCAGCTACCACGCCTGGGAGCACTTTGTATTAGGTGCTTACACTCGTTTACAGTGGGAGAGTTCCGTTAGTCCTGCCTTAGGTATTTGTGATTTGTATAAAGTAGCAGTTTAATGATAATGATACACAAAATATTTTCATCACACATGAGGCTATGTTTAAAAATAAAATACATGGTAGAAAGTAGGCCTTTTTAACCATTTAAATTGTGTGGTACAATTCCATACACATTTTTATCATTTTTAAAATAAAAGCAAATGTTTTTAAATAAATATAAAAATGTTGACCTGAACAGGTGAAGACCATTGACAAAGGAGCGTGAAAGTTTACATAGACTGTGCTTATATGCTGCATATTAGCAATGTATACACCCCAACCATCTATTTCTGATGACTAAAGAGTCATTGGAGTTAATTTATCTGAATTTAATATAAAATATAAATGTTCGTTGTTGCGCTTTGTAATTGAGGGAAACTGGATGTTTGGTGTAACTATCCGCCTTCCCTTTGTTACTTGTAGAAGGCAAAGCGTTTCCATATGAACATGACCTGGCTCACAGAAAGTTCCTGGCCTCCTGCCACATAGCCGGGCAGAGCTTCGTCCAGGAGCCGGCCGCTGCTCGGAGAAGGCGGGTCTGAGCAGGGTCAGTGAGGAGGCCGGTGTTTCGACGAGTTCAGCAGCATGGCGACATCGTTGCTGGTTTCTCAGGGAGGAATTTTACATCGTAGGTTCTGTAAGGACCGAATCAAATAGATGAAATTGTAATTTAAGAAAATGCTGTGGGCTGCAATACCTTTCAAACTAAATAGCTCTACCACAAAGCACTGATAGGAGACATGTTGGCAGCAAATCACACTTGATCCAATCAACTAGAAATCCTGCAGTCAGTCCTGGTGAAGGTCTTGAGAAAATTGGGAATTTAATTATTGACGCCAACTGTTGAAACATTTTAAGACTTTTACCAAACACAAAGGTTACCGTATTTTAATTATTTTTATTTAAAAACAGGGACTTGAAAACTGAAAATAGGTTAAATAGGTAAATACAAAATCTATGATTTTCTCAAAAATCACTTAAGGGTGATTTTTTCCCGTTTAAAAATTATTTCTCTTGTATCAGAATCTGCTTTGTTTTTTTCATTTTCATGGACTTTTTGCCAGTGGCATCTTAGAAGCACAAATGTTTTTTAAAATATGTTTTTATTGGTTTCAGAGAGAGGAAGGGAGAGGGGGAGAGAGAAAAGCATCGATGGATCGGCTGCCTCCTGCAGGCCCACTACTGAGGGTCGGGCCCCAAACCTGGGCGTGTGCCCTGACCTGGAATCTGACTGGTGACCTTCTGGCGCCTGGGACGTCGCTGAGCCACAGAGCCACGCCGGCCGGGCAGAAGCACAGAGAACACCAGTCGCCGATGTCAGGGAGCTCCTGTCTCCCTCAGTCTGCTTCCTGCCGTGGGACACAGGAGCCTTGGACTCTCGCTCTCGGGGCTGTTGAGGGGATTAAAGAAGTGACTTGGAATCAGGGTTCGACTTCTGTGTCAACGAGCTATTTCCGTTCCTGTGTCTGGAGGAGGATTTGTGGGCACTGTCCCCAGACTCGCCCAGGATCTGGTGGGTGGTTTAGATGTGGCCGAGCCTAAGTCACAACTGGGGGCCCACCCTGCCCCGGGACAGTGCCTTTCCCAAGACACTGGGAGGGTTCCGGGCAGGATCAGTAGGGAGGCCCCCTGACGACCGTCTGAGCGTGAAACGTCACAGGCAGCATGTCCTTTATTCATCTCAGAGAGCTTCAGATTGTTTTCCTCACTTGGCTTGACCTTTTTAAATTATTTCTCTGGGAAAACTGTTGGATTTTGCATTTCTCCACAAAGTGGGCATAGCTCCCATCCTTCAGGCTCCATTTCCTGCCTCCAAGCAAGAAACTGCGGGGCAGCTGTCCCCACTCTCAGGACACTGGTCTCCTTCATCCCAAGGGGAGGCCTACTTCAGAGCTGGACTTTTCCACATTGTCTCAAAGACCCAGTGGACTGGCAGGCGTGTCCGGGTGCCCCACGTCCTGGACCCAGGTAAAGGAGGGAGCAGCCCCGAGCAGCTGTGGCCTTAAGGCTGTGACCCTCAGGGCCTCAGTGGGCTGTGGCTCGGCTCCAGGTCCACCTTGTCTGATGTTCAGCTGTTGCCTGCAGTTTGCCAGCCCTGGGGGCTGGGACAGAGGATTTCTCATGAAGGACACAGTTAGGCTTCTGTTCAGAAAGTGGAGCGTGGAGATGGAGGCACGACTCTGCTGAGACGAGCTGCATTTGCTAAGGTAGAGGCACGGACGGGCAAGAGCTGGGCACGGGCGAGACGGCCCTCGGGGTCCGCCAGGGTCAGGTGCTGAGCTGGAGCTTGCCTAGGAGTCTCTCATCCTTGCAGACAGTGGGGTGTCTTTCAGAAGGAAACTGTTACTTTTTTTAGAATTTCTAAAAACAGCATCATCATCAAAAGATAGGGTGGGTTTGGTGTCCTGGCAGAAATGAATTGAGTCATTTTGTAAACCCTCAAACTTCTACCTACGAGCACAAGTGCAATGGCAGCTACTGCTCTCCTGTTGACTTTTCCTCGTGCTGGGGGTGGGCAGAAACGGGGGCGGCAGGAGGAGGTGGGTAACCTACTCGCAGCGGTGTCTGAGTCTCCGTGCAGGTCACTGTGCAAATCCTGAGAAACTGGAGACAGTGACACAAGGCCATGAGGCTTACTTTCTGGGCAGAAATATTGGGAAACAGGGAAACTGCAAAATATTTTGCTATTTGTTGCAATGAAAAGAGTCACCGTGAGGTACTTTAAGCAGCGTGAACTTTGGAGGTAGGCATCTGGGATTGGAGGTGGGCTGACCCCTTCCTAACTGACCTTTGGGTAAATTATTTTTTTTAATTTGTTTTTACTGATTTTTAGAGAGAGAGTAAGGGAAAGGGAGAGAGAGAAGCATCGATCAGCTGCCTCCCGCACGCCCCCTACTCGGGATCAAACCTGCAGCCCGGGCCTGTGCCCTGACCGGGAACAGAACCAGCAACCTTTTGGTGCCTGGGATGACGGCCAACCTCCTGAGCACACGGGCCAGGACCCTGAGATCTTACCTTTGCCTCATTCTAGATGAGTCTGGATCAGAGCTGGTACACTGAAAAAGAATCGTTTTCTAATCAGAATGAACATATGCACCCCGATGTTCATAGCAGTTTACAATAGCTAACTAAGATCTGGAAACAGCCCAAGTGCCCATCAGGAGATGAGTGGATAAAAGCTGTGGGACATTCACACCATGGGATACTACGCAGCTGTAAAGAAGAATCTCGTACCCTTTGGGACAGGATGGATGGACCTGGAGAGTATTATGCTGAGAGAAATAAGCCAGGCAGAGAAAGACAAACATCACATGATCTCCCTTATATGTGGAATCTAAAGAACTTAATAAACTGATGGACAGAATAGATTCAATGACATGGAAGCATAGATGAGACTGATGAATAACAGAGGGATGGAGGAGGGCGGGTGGGCGGAGGGGGAGAGAGTAACCAAAGAATTTATATGCATCTATGCACAACCCAAGGACACGGACAATGGTGGGGAGAGGGACTGGGAAGGGGGATGGGACAGGGTGGAACGGGTCATTGGGGAGAAAAGGGGACATCTGTAATATTTTAAACAAAAATAAAAATTTTAAATTAAAGATCGTGTTTATTGAATTCTGCCCAGCTCTGTATTAGACCAGCTTCCGTGCTCACCGGCAGCATTACCTTGCCTGGCCTTTCCCATTGGAGCTGATGTGCAGGGACCTCAGGGACCGGCCTCTGGTCCGGGTGTCCCCCCGAGCCCCTCCTGTAGCTCAGGCCCTGTCCTCCCACAGATACTTTATACAGTAATAGATGTATGACCACAGATGCGTTGACGGCCTTGGCCGCAATGTTTGCCTTTAACGGAACTTCAGGAGCATGAGCCGCTGGAGGTAGGGAGGGGGCAGTAATAAGGGGAAGGTCCCGAGGACCTGAGGAGGGTGACTGTCTAATGGCGAGGAGTCAAGATTGTGACTGATTTTTGTGATTGTAGAGACAAGGTTTGACCCTTTTTCTCCAACATGAAATGATTAAACGTGTTGTGCTCTTTGTTCATCTGATACAACGTGTCTCTGAGATTAAACTCTCTCAGCCCTGGGACTTTCCTTCTGGAATAATAACTGTGAAGATATTTTATTCTGATCAATTCTCCTTTGTTTCTCATTAACTCTTGAGTTCCTTCAAACTTTGAAAATACGTTTAATCATGCAATATATTAGAAATGTAAATATCAGTAGAAAAAAAAGCGTATTTCATAAAATGTGTAAAAGTAACCCTGCATGTGTCTCATTTCTTCTCAGCCGTGTCCTGCGGAATCCCTGAGGCCCCAGGAAATGGCTCCTTCATGGGTAACGAGTTCACCTTGGACAGTAAAGTGACGTATGAATGTAACGAGGGCTTTAAGCTTGAAGATGGCCAACAAGCCACAGCCGTGTGTCAGGAAGATGGATCCTGGAGCAACCGAGGGACGCCGCCCACCTGCAGGCGTAAGTGCTGGATGTGTTGGCCTTGTTTGAGGGTTTAACTAGGAGGAGGTCTCCCAGGTGAGATGCTCTGGAGGGCAGAGCTCTCTCCCACACCTGTGAGCGCCTGGTCTTTGCGTCGAGGTGGTGCAACCTGCTTCCTCCACACAAAGCCCAACACCAGTTAAAATGAGCCACGTGCGCCTGAAGGTGGGTCAGTCAGGTGGAAGCCTGTGAAGCCTGGTGGTGGCCTCAGTACCTAGACCCTGTGGGTCACCCGCAGATCCCGAGCATGCTGCCGTTGCGTTTGGAGAGTGAAATCAAGAGCAACCTGAGAGCTTACCCGGGAAACAGCACACTAACAAAATACTGAAACAGCTCCACCTCCTCTTCATCTCCCATCTGACCTGAAGTTCTTGGACATCAGAGGCAGTGCCGAGCATATTCACACACCGCCTACTCTGAGTAACTCACTGATGCTCCGTAAAACAGCCACTCCTGGTCTGTAAGGTGGGCTGTGATTCCTGGGAAGCTAGTTACAGTACAGCAGACCCACCAGTAAGGTCGTTTTGTTCAATGTTTCATTATAATGCGGGTGAGGAAGAAGAAACTATGGATTCCTGACTGGGGCCCTGTCTGTGCAGTTTGCAGGGTGTCCTAGGTCTGCATGGGTTTGCTTCCAGGACCCTGGCTTCCACCCACACCACAGATGTGCGCATTAGGTGAACTGGCGAGTCTACACTGTCCCATCTCGGTGGTGTGGGGGTGTGGCCCTGCCATGGACAAACATTCTGTCCAAGGGCCAGGTCCCCCCTTGTGCCCTGAGGTGCCCCAGGGGAGGCTCTGGCCACCCGAGACCCAGGGCTGGAGTAAACAAGTGGAAAATAATGAGCTTTCTTGTTCTCAATTCATCTTTCTTAAATGTATATATAGCTCATATTTATTTCATTGTTTAATGTTAGAAGTGTTTAGGGTCTTTATTTAGAAATTTGGTGACTTAGGGGGACCATAGATATGTACTTACCTCTTGTTTAAATCAATGAGCCTGAAGTAAGATTGGTTTTCCTCTGCATCATTATTACGTAGTGAGGACTTGCTGTGTAATAACATTCTTACAAGGGCTAAAATGTGGGTACGTTCTAGGAGTCTGCTTTTAAAAAATAATGATTGTGTTCGTCACACAGAGTCGAACAAAAGCTCAAAGACGTACACACGCAAGTGTGTACACGATTCAGCCCGAGGTTTTCACTGCAGCTACCCTAAAACCACCCTCAAATCGGAGATAATCTCACTACCTCGTTCCTAACCATTGAAAATGATACAGTATTTCTACATATACAGTGATATTTTTGCTCTTTAAATAGATAGCACAAAGGATCCACGTAATCTTTCATTGTAAAATTAGTTTATTGGCCTCTTTGGGTATGGTGTTTTGGTCATGTTAAAAATTTTTAAGCGTTTAGATATGAATATGTAAACATTTATGGAAAACCAGTGATGTCCCCCCCATAGTTTTTTAGTCCATTGCTGACATTTTCATCTATGTTTTTGGGCAAATAATTCTTGCATTTCCTGCGAGTCAGTTATGAACCATTAAGACAACATTCATATTCCTTAGTCATTTTCTATTTAATAAAACCTGTCTTACTGTAGTTATGTAACAGTTAACGGCTAGGAAAACAAGATACATCTGTATATTATTAAGTTCAAGCCTAATTAAAATTAACTCTCCCAGAGTAAGAGCTTAAACTCACAGATGGCAACAACACACATATGTTCGGGTTACTTATCATAAGAATAGTTTCCTGGGCATTTAAGACACTGCCCACCTGGAAGATAGCTCAGAGACCTTTCATAATAATGCCTGTCATTTAAAGTGCCTACTAGGTGTCAGGTGTTCCAAATGGTTTACCTTTAAATCTCATCATAACAGTGGGAAGGCAGGACACAGACGGCCTTACAAGTGACGTAAACGCTACTGACTTGTGGATCTGGGATTTGATTCTAGCTCCTTCCAGCTCTAAGTCCTTCCATCTCTTCGTGGCTCTCGCTCTGGTCACACACAGCAGCCACCTGGATAGAGAGCTTACAGAGCCAGCGCTCAGGTTGGGCCCTCAGTTGTTCTGACCTGATTGATGTTGGGTAGAAGGTGTGCATCGTGTTTTCTTAGTACTCTGCCAGCTGTGCTTCACATGGCAAGTGTATGCCGGGTCTCAGAGGAGAAGCATTTTAAATGTGTGTACTGTTTGAGAGAGACGTGAAAATGGCCAGGTGATTACACAAGTGTAAGTTTTAGTCTCGTATCTTTTTTTAAATAGACTTATTATTCTGAGTAACTGTTGGTTCATGTAAAATGGAGCAGAAAGTACAGAGATTTCCCATATGTCCCCTGCTCCCCCCCAGACACAGCCCCCCCATTATAATGTCCCCACCAGACAGTGTGGTTGTCACCACTGATGAACCTGCACTGACACGTCATTATCACCCAGAGTTCACGGTTTACATCAGGGTCAGTCTGTGTTGCCCATTCTAAAAGTATGGACACATTTATAATGGTCAATGCCCATTATTAGTGTCTGTACAAAGTGTTTTCATGGCCATGAAGCCCCCTGTGCCCTATGATTCGTGGCTTTCTTCCCCAGCCCCTGGAAACTACTCATCTTTTTACTGTTTCCCACGTTTGCCTTTTCCAGGATGTCAAAAGGTCGGGATCACACAGATGTAGCCTTTTCAGATTGGCGTCCGTCTCTTAGCCACGTGAACTTAATGTTCCTTCATGTACTCCATGGCTTGAGAGATCATTTATTTTTAGCTGAATAATATTCCATTGTCTGATTGGACCACAGTTTGTTTATCCATCACCTGCTGAAGGACATCCTGGTGGCTTCCAAGTCTGGGCAGTGTGCAGGTTTCTGTGAGGACATGAGTTTTCAGTTTACTCGGGTAAATGCCAAGGAGCACAATAGGTGGATCCTATGGTGAGAGTATATTTAGTTTTGTAAGAAACTCCACAACTGTCCTCCGAAGTGGCTGCACCATCTGCATTCCCAGCGGCAAAGAGCAACAGTCCTGTTGCTCCATGTTCTCGTCAACACTTGGTGGTGTTGGTGTTTTGGATTTGGGCCATGTTAACAGGTGCAAAGTGGTGTCTTCTTGCTGTTTGTTTGTGTTTCTGTGGTGGACTGTGAGGTGGAGCATCTTCTCATGAGCTTACTTGCCATCTGTCTACTTTCTTTGGCCTGGTGTCTATCCAGGTCTTTGGCTCCTTTGTAATCAGGTTGTTTGTTTCAATATTGTTGAGTTTCAAAAGTCTTTGGTATATTTTAGATAACAGTTCTTTTCTGCTTCAGTCCCCAGACAGTTCTCATGGAGAACAGAATAAACTTCTAAACTCTCTCTGTATTTTGAGCCCAATTCTCCAAAGAGCAGAAGGTCAGAGGTTAAGGAGAGGCCAGCCTGGAGCCTGCCCAGCCCAGGCATGGTTCTGTGTGTATGTGTTTCGGTGTCCACACCACGCTGATAACAACTCCTGGAAGACTCGTCCTGAACCACGTCCATCCTCTAGCTGGTCCTGAGCTCTATACAGATGCACCCATTCAGTTCTTAGGTCTGGGACCAAGGGTCCCAGAGACAGAAAGGAGCAAGCTTGGGGTGTGGTCCGGGAGGCCTGAGAAGACAGCCCTTCCCTCAGGTCAGTCAGGCGGCCCCTGTAAAGGTTAAGTCCTGCGTGTTATTGGGCTGAGAACAGACAGGAAAACGGTGCCATTCTCACTGGAGTGAGATTCTTTCTGGAAGGTAGCACATAGCTGCCTATAGACAAGGGCGCCACACCTGGTCTGAGGATGTGTAGAGAACCAGGTGACTTCAAGGACAGTGCACATTTATGTCTAGAATGTTCTGGAGAAGCCGGGAATGAGAGGCCTCTAGCAGTGGGGTGAAAAGAGCAGTTTTGTGCTGGGCAGTGTTGGACTCTCGCACCTGGCTGCCTTCATTTAGACACGCACTTGAGTTTCCTGTTCTACAGCACAGATCTAGATGTGCAGTTGCTTTAAAGTCATAATAAAAAAGTATTATAACAAAATTGCTTCTTACCTACAAATGAGGTTCCCAGTGTAAGGAAGTTGTGGTGTATGCAGTTAAATGATTATTTACTGGGAAAATTCTATTTGCATTTTAAAGACTTTTTAACACTGATTACCACTCAGGAACATGGGGAAATACATAGAACACTTATGAGAATAGGAAAAGTCAACCTTTAGTTTTCTAAGTATCATCTCAACCTTTTAAGAATCTCTTCTTTCTCCGTTGTTTATTAGACTTTGTAAACAGGAAAAATGGGAGTTGCATTAAAGCTCCTTGGTAGTCAGGGGTGGGAAATCTATTTCGTTGTGTGGGGGTTGCTGTTTTGTTTTGTTTTTTCACTTAATTTAAACTAAAGAAATTGGGCAGAGTAATCCTAACACTTTACCCCAGAAAATGTGGCAACTATTAAGTTCTGGAGTTTGCATTTCCCAGGGCCAATTTCTTTGCAGACTCTGTTGCTACCGAACAATTCCATAAGTTTCTTTTCCACCTGCAGTCCTGTGGAGATCACTGCGCCGAATCTCCAGGGATACGTGATGAATAGTAAATGCAGATGGCAAATAAAATGGGTTCATTGCACCCTCAGGTTTAGGGAATGCAGGTTGCAGTGGATGACTCTGTCGGTTTGTGTACGCTGTGCACTCGTACGAGTCTCCAAGGCAGATGTCTGAGGCTAATTTCCTCTCATTGTAATTACTTACCAAGCCTGGATTTGAATCACTAGCTTCTATGGCTCATGCTGGTGACATGAGAAAACCAGAGAACCACGTGGCATTGATGTGTGGGCGTGGAGCTTCCGCATAGGAGGGATAGGCCTGCTTCGTGTGCTTAGCATTTAGGGGAAAGCAAAGCCGTTAACGTCACCCCCTCATGAAAGGAAGCCAACATTGTCATCCCTGAACACAGGTGCTTCTCTCTTTCGATTAAAGCTATTAGTGAGGCAAGTTCCTCACTGATAACTTTCTAAGGACCTACTGTGTGCCAGGCACCATGAGCACTGCGCATGGCTGATGCAGTGTGGCCACATTTCATGAAAGGGGAAGCACGTTAAAATCATGTCAGACAGCTTCATGTGGCCTAGAAATAGACCATTCGTAGAAGAACCAAGCATTGCAAAGAGTTCTGAGCGATATTTGCTGTAGCGCTTAGTGGATGAGGCTTTGCTATGGGTCCTGTTTTCTTGCTGAGATCGGATTTAATGAACGGTGTTCACCGTTAAGTTGTGGGTCAAGTCGGAGCATCAGTCACCTGGCGTAGCTGTCACCGAATGTTTCACTTCATGATGAACGTTAGTGAAATGTTCCCGGGTCTGACTATCCTAAGGCATCCTCTTTGAGACCAACCACAGTAACAGAAAGACCTCATGAGCGTTTTGGAAACCTCACAAGTGGAAAAGGTAGGATTCACCAGAATGAGCAGAAACCCAGGGATTTCAGGCCTCTGAGACTACATGAGTGTTCTGAGTAGATTCGACCAAGAGTCTCAGGGGATAAGCAGTTAGAGCTTTAAAGTCTTTGGACCTTGTTTGTCTGACGTCTCTGAAAAGCTGAGTGATTCTCAGGTGAGTACATAGATTACATTCTAGGAGTCTGCTTCAAAACTCTATTAATTCACCCTTAATTAATACACCCACTCTTTTTTAAAAAAAATATTTGTTTTCATTGATTTTTGAGAGAGAGAGGAAGTGACAGGGAGAGAGAGAGAGAGAGAAGCATCTATGGGAGGGAGAAATACCCATCAGCTGCGTCCTGCGCACCCTCTACTGGGGATCAAGCCTGCAACCCAGGCATGTGCCCTGACCCGGAATCGAACCTCTTGGTGCCCAGGATGACGCCCAACCAACTGAGCCACACAGGCCAGGCCGGTCCGCCGGCTCTTACTCTACATAACTCATGCACTAATCATTGGGCTAAGCTCGGGGGTTAAAACAGAAATCCCAAAACAATCTTTGTTCATCAGAATCCCATGATGTCCATCCGGTCTTTGGGTTCAGCCTGTGGCTGTGCCGAAGTTTGGTGGCATGAATGCGTTTCAGTTCTCTTAGTCCCTTGCATTTCCCCAAGACCTCGCTGAATGTCCCTCTTTGCCTCAGCCGACAGCCTTGCAGTTCAGCATCTGATGCCCCAGGACTAAAAGCAGCTCCACCTCCCCATCCTGCGAGCGTGTCACTCTGGGAAGCTGAAGGCTGGGCTTCAGGGGCGATGACAGGCACAAGGACCAGACCGATTAAATCTTCTTGCCCCAGAGGCATCAGCGGAGTGTTATAATCTCATTAGCTGTGCTTGAGCTGAAGGCGGCCGTGAGAAGCACTCACCCCGTTGAGGGTGATGGGGAAAGTCTGTGGTAAAGGCAAGAGCGTCCTACATCTGGGGCTGATTAAACACCACCGAGGACTTAGGAGGAGGCCCTGTAATTTATGAGAGAGGCTAAAGGGCGTCCTTCACAGCGGCCACACTGTCATTGTCTGTGCGTCTCAAACGAAACAAGGGCTCGCCTCCTCGGTTTTCCACTGGCTGAGCAAGTCTTTAATAAATCAGGGTCACTCGTGGTAAAATTAAAAGTGATATTTCTCCATAAAATGCAGACTCTTTTGCGTTGTCACTGAAACATTCACAAGGTAGAGAAACAGTGTCTTTTGTGCACAGAAAGCCATTGTCTGTGCTCTCAGCTGATCTGATTGGAGGAGAATTATTTAGGGAGTTTTAGGAGAAAAGTGTCCCCAGGTCCACACAGTGCTGTGAGCCCTGTCGCGTGGGGGGGGGG